CCAGTGTGCTGGGTTTAGGGCAAGACCTAGGTTTACTTTCGGATTGGGGCTGTGCGACGACTAATCGGCTTTCGTTTTGCCCGTTGCGATTTTAACCTGATTCCATACCGATTTAGAATCCGCGATAGGTTCTCGGCTTATACAATTCGTCTGGTTGGAATCGAGCATCTCACCGGGAGACTGTCCCGGAAGTGCTGACCAAAAATTTGGATTTCTTTTATAGCGCGCTATTTTATCCTCGTCGGATGTATGCGGACCGATAGGTCAGTGCGTTTGTTTAGGACGGCTAGCGTGCTCGACGGGGCCAATCGCCGAGCGTTCGTGTTTTTTATAGTCGCGGACGGACTGTGGGGGAATATTTTTCTTCGTTTTGGGAGTATACGAATACTCGTATACTCACCCACTCCCCCCCCCCGCTTTGGAAAGGGGGATAGCTGAACTCGTCTTTAGGCGAGCTGCATACGTATTCCTTTCGGAAATCAAGCCATCTCGTAGTTCTGATAGTTTGCGCGAGTGTGTTTACTCGGCTGTCGTAGACTTCTCGATTGCTTCGGTCGCGGGATCGATGTCTTTGTCCGGGATTGTCTCCTCCGGTTGGGCAGAAGCGATGGGTGCGGAAACTTCTGGTTTCTCGGTCGTTGCTTGCTTCGGGTCGTTGTCTGCGGGCGGTGGTGTGACCTTTGCCCGTTTTGGTTTCACGATCGCGACCGCCAATTGCCTTAGCTTATGTTCGGCCAGGAAGCAAGATCGCGACTGTCTTTGGCATCCCCAAATTACTGCGACTCCCGTAGGCGTCGGGAATTTGATGCCTAAGTGATACGTGGACAAAACCGCCTTGATGGAATTTATCCAAGGCGTGCCCATAATCACGTTGTAGATAGCCGGGACATCGACTACCGCGAAGTTAACGATTCTCGTCACTTCTTTCGCGACGACCGGTAGTCGGATTGATCCCAAGGTCATTGACGTTTCGCCGGAGAAACTAGTCAGCGGTTTTGGAATCGGCTCGACTTCCGAGAGGTCGATTCCCATTCGTG